TTCACGAGCAATATTCATATGCTTGATTGTACTCACTTGGGAAGAGAGTCCATTACAGTAGCACATACGGCCCTCAAATCCCAAATTGGTTTAGGATTACATATAAAACATTTCCAATCTTCCTTTTCTACGTCCAAAAGCGATAAACTCACATTCCTCTTTATACATCCCTAGAAGTTTTTTAATTAGCAAAATAGTTAATCATACATATTATCATATTTGAATAACTGACATATATACATATTTATTGAAAGATATGCTAAATTTATTACTTTACAACACGCTGAGAAGCAATCTTTGTTGCAGCATACAAATAATTTTTTGTTTCCGCCGCAAATGTGACAATGATTTCTAGATTTTTCCTCATCAAATTTCAGCTGTATATTTTTGAAATGTTTCCAGCATACCTGAAAAAAAAAATAAATAAATAAAAACAACATTGCAGTATATTAATTTGCATATAATCAATAAAAAAAGAATCTAAGCTCTTCTAGGTTTTTTATTAATTTAGGCTTTAACACTTTGACTGCCATATGTACTCAATAGGATATATATACAGGGTGTCCGCTCTTAGAACATATGTAAATGGAGGGGAATGGGGAATCAAATGGGGAATCACTTCCGATGGAAGTGAGAAAGGAAATCATATACGTCATGGGAGAAACCATGATATACGTCATATACCTCTCTCTCTTGCTCTTCCTCTTGCGAGTGCTTTTTCGAAAGTGCGCATGCGCGTCGTTTGGCGGGTTTAGCCGCGCGCATGCGTAATCGATTCACAAAGAGAGAGCAAGAGAGAGGTGTATATCGGACGTGGACCTCTCAGTTCATTTTATGGGAATTCCTCTTCCATTTATTATATGTTCTAAGCATATTGGCTTAGTTTACACCGAGCACTTGATATGTGTACTAACTAGAAACTTTCTATTAAATTATCTCAATTTTTACAATGCATTTAAAGAATGATATACTAAGCTAATACACTATGCATTAATAAGATGATTAATTAAATACATATATCATGTATAAGTTTATATGCATCGTCGAAATTAAGAAAATTTAATAGAAAGCTATTAGTTAGTACGTGTATCAAATGCTCAGTGTAAACTAGGCCAATGGCTAATTATATAAATAACAGTGTAACATCAGGAAATCATTACAAAAATCTGTGTGGCAGTCAAAGGGTTAAATATGAAGCACATTTGATTTTAAATACAGAACAATGTCTACAAATGAGCAATTTCTTACCTCGCACTGCAATATTCCAATGAAAGGATGAGAAAAGATTCGCTTTGTCTCGATATTTAATTCATTATCACAGGTGGAACACACTATTTGCCTATCTTTGATCATTCTAATATCTAAATGTAAAGTGCAAGTACAAGTCTACATTATTACAAGTGTTTTTGCAAATAAAATGATGCAAATAAAAAAATGTTAACGTGCTAACTATAATTTTTATTTTAATTTTTTATAAATAAGTGTTAATATTTTATATACATATATAGATATATATCACTTATTATTTATTAAAAATTAAAAGAAAAATCATACATATATACAGTGTTTTAAAAGTTTTGCCAAAGGTAAAGAATGTTTAGACTGTTTAGAGAATCAAAATAGAACAATTTTCAAATAGGAACCCATGTATTTTGAATGTAATCCTGAATCAAACTTCTGAATATAGGGAAGTCTAATGCTGCTGAAGCAATTGTATTATGTGCACAAGCATATAAGTTGATTGTGAGTTGATGAT